CCCACTCTCTCTCGAAACATCGAAAATTCTCCCCAATTTCAACATAGAGGAGGCCACAAATTCTAGCAAGGGCCTCAATTTCCTACTCAGAGATTCAAGATGAACTCCATTTGACTTACGAGCCCTAGAATCAACTCTCTTCAATTTCAATTTGCCGTGGTCTAGAGAGCTTTTATTTTCCGAAATCTTGGTAATGGAAAAACTAAGGTTTTTCTTTAGGGTAGAATGTGCAATCATGGTGCTTGCAGTAACGACAGTTGTGGCCATGGCAGATGACAATAACAGACAGTTGTGGCCATGGCAGATGACAACAACAATGTGTTCCAGCTTTGCAAGACAATCCCATCCAGAAATCAGATGGGTTCACATTTGGTATCGCGTTCTGAGGTCTTCTGTCTTTGTCAACAGTACCACACAACTCTCACCTTGTGATTGAAGCTTCTCTCTATAAACAATACCCAACTTGCGATGTTCCACCTAAGGTGGACCAAATCTCTCTCCTCACCATTAATACCACACCGGAGACATGGTGGTTACATGGTAGCATTTGCAGGTCGAAAATATGCTGCTAATATCTCCTGCCACTTTTGTTGCAACTCGACACCAGCTTTACTTTGGCGCTCGAGTAGAAGGGATATTACAAAACTTGTACTGGAAAAGAGATGGATGCGCGTCTTGCAAGGAAAACCCAAACCTTACTTTGTGTATTTGAGAGAGAGAGATAAGGAGTTTAGAGAGAGAGAGAGGGGGGCGAGAGAATAAGAGAGAGAGACGGAGTTCTTGGAGAGAAAAGACGGAGTTTACGGAGGCATACTGGTCGTTTCACATATTGTTTGGGTCAATAATAAATCGTTAAATGCGTTTAGAGGTCGGAGGATTTAAGAGTTGGAATATAGAAAAGACAAATACTTTATGGTCTTAGAAATAATTTAACTTATTTGGTCTACTGAGAAATAGGTGCCAAAAATAAGAAAGCTTTCTAGTTTCTCCTTAGATAGAAGTTCTATCCTCTTTTTATCTAACCGTCTATTTTTTAATAGAGGTTAAGATTGCCCTAATTACAACGTTATGTCTTGATATTTTTTTATTTTTAAATTTTTTTTATAAACTATTTTTATACCAAATTTTAGACGTCCATTTCTCTATTAAACTCACACTAACGAAAAATATAAAAATATATATTTATAATAAAATAAAATAATCAAAATACCTCATAAAGTTTCAAGGGGTGTTTTGGTTATTATATTTTATGGAAAAATTATTGTTAATATTTTTATAGGTGCGCTCCAATGAGAAGATGACACATACCAAATTTCATATTCAGAAAATTTGTATTAAAAAAACTAAAAAAAAAATGCTTTGAGACATCAGATCTAAGATCAAACGGTGAGTGGCTCTCTTGATAAAAATGGACGGCTGGATGGTAGGGGGAGGATAGGACTTCTATATTGTAGGGGAGCATAACAAGCTTTCTCGTCAAAAATAGGGGTACAAAAATATTTTTCTTTTTTTTTAATGTTATTTTTTGTGCTATTTCTTTAATTTTTGGATGCAAATTTGAGAAATCTTGTTCACTTGTAATTGTCTTTTAATTTGGATTCTGATATTTTTCCTTTTTATTTAATGTTATTTCTTTAATTTTTGGATGCAAATTTGAGAAATCTTGTTCACTTGTAATTGTCTTTTGATTTGGATTCTAAATCGGGTGCGGTTTGTATAGAGCCTAGGCTATCCTTAAATAGTGTCGAGAAATTTAGTTTCAATACTGAAAATATTTGTGATAGCCATAAAATATATTTTTGTCTTTATTTATAAAGTTTAAAGCTTAAAAAATAGTGCAGATCGATACAGTGAAAACTTGAAAATTGGCTGTCCAAAAATACATTACAATATAGACTATTTTAAAACTTTTTTTCATGTCTATGCATCTTGATGTCGAGATATCAATTTGAGGATATTTGAGAATCAAATCAACCTCTTCAAAAAAATTTGAGATAGGCTCAAATTTGATTGTTTATAGCCTCGGCTCTATATAAACATTTCCCTTCTAAATCATAGGTGGTCACTAAAATACTTTGCGAACCAGCAGGGTCCTATGCCGTATTTCTTGATCGAATGCGGCTTCCCTCTCCTCCTCCGCTTCCCTGCTTCCGCTCCCCTCTAGCCTCCTATCTCTCTACCCTCTCTCCCCAACTCTCCTCCTCACTCTCTAATCACCCACCCCACTCCGCTGATGATCACCAGCCCTCTCTCTCTGCTCTTTCATCCCCTTCTCTCTCTAGCCTCGCCCACGCCTTCATCGACCGTCCCGACGTCTCGGCGTGGAATGCCCTCATCGCCGACCTCGCGCGCAATGGCGACTCCCTTGAGGCCCTGCACGCCTACACTGCAATGCGCCGCACAAAAGTGCGACCAGACCGCTCCACCCTTCCCTGCGCCATCAAGGCTGCGGCCAACCTCGCCAACCTGACCATGGGCCTCGTCCTCCACCACCATGCGTTGGTTTCAGGTCTCATTTGTGACGCTTTTGTTTCATCTTCTCTCATAAATATGTACTCAAATTGTTCAAAACCCGATGAAGCTGAGAAGGCCTTCATTGAATCACCCTTTAAGAACCAAGTTCATTACACTGTTATGCTTTCCTGTTACGCCCAAAACAACCTCCCCATGCATGCGTTGGGTACATGGCGTGACATGCGAAGGTCAGGTGTGTCACCTGACCCGGCAGCCTTGGTGACGGCGCTCTCATCCTGTGGGCCAGATACGCTTGTCGCGCGCATGCTGCATGGGGTTGCTGAGCGCGCAGGCCTTTCACGAAACACCTCGGTTGCCAACACACTCATGGGTGCTTATTTAAAGGCAAAGGGAGCCTCTGTCGTGCTTGCTCGCCAAGTGTTTGACGAAATGTCTCTAAGAGATATAGTGTCATATAACACCATGATCTCGGGCTATGGCCAAGCTGGCTTAGCGGTTGAGGCCTTGGCTTTGGTCCATAGGATTCATAGCGAGTTGAGCGAGCCAGCGAGCGCAGTGACCCTATCGGCTGTGCTCCTGGCTTGTGCTCAAGCTGGGGCCTTACGTTTCGGGCTTTGTGTTCATACACAAGCCTTGCACAGAGACTTTCATGTCAATGTATTTGTTGGAACGGCTCTTATTGATATGTACTGTAAGTGCGGGCGTGTTGATTTGGCCAGAAAAGCATTTGACATGATGGGTATGGAGTATAGGAATGTGAAGACATGGACTGCGATGGTGGCTGGTTATGGCATGCATGGAAGAAGCAATGAGGCTTTGCAAGTCTTTAGAGAGATGAGAGAGAATGCGGTGGAGCCGAATTATATTACTTTTGTTGGTGTTTTATCAGCTTGCAGCCATGTTGGGTTCATAGAGGAGGGGTGGAGGTGGTTTAATGCCATGAAAATGCAGTATGGGATAGAACCAGGTGTTGAGCACTATGGATGTATGGTTGATTTGTTGGGTAGAGCTGGTTTGCTTGATCAAGCTTATGCTCTGATAAAATCCATGGCCATGAAGCCTGATTTCGTGGTTTGGGGTGCATTGCTTGGAGCTTGCAAGATCCATAAGAATGTCAAACTTGGTGAAATCTCAGCAAAGAAGCTCTTTGAATTGGACCCGAAGAACACAGGTTACTATGTTTTGTTATCAAACATCTATTCTGAGGCAGGAAGGTGGGAAGACGCAGAGAAGATCCGGGTTTTGATGAAGAAGAGGGGGTTGGTTAAGGCCCCTGGTTATAGCTTGGTTGAACACCATGGAAGAGTGCATTTCTTTTTGGTGGGTGATAGAGAGCACCCACAAAGTGAAGAGATCTATGGGTTTTTGGAGAGATTAATGGGGAAATTACAAGAAGCTGGTTATGTGGCTGATACAAAGGAGGCTCTTCATGATGTAGATGAAGAAGAAAAGGAAACAAGTTTGTGGGTTCATAGTGAGAAGCTCGCTGTGGCTTTTGGGGTGTTGAATATGGGGCCTAGAGTTTTAATCAGGGTGATCAAGAACCTCAGGGTTTGTGTCGATTGCCATAATGTGATCAAGATGATTGCAAAGCTGGAGGGGAGAGAGATTGTGGTGAGAGATTCGAATCGGTTCCACCATTTTTGCAGGGATGGAACTTGCTCATGTGGGGACTATTGGTGACTAGAAGGTGCGGTGCAACGGCTTGAATTGGTTGCACCAGTACACATTCTTACCTTCTCTTACCACTCCTACTTCATGGGATAAGAGGCTTCAAATTTGTCATCTTTACTCCATTTGGAAGAGAGATTCTGCCATATCTACAACAAAGGAGACAATTCTTTTTCGGAAATCTGGGGAGGAGACAGGATTTCCTTTTTCCATTCTTCAATATGGGACTAAAAATTAACACCTTCTTTATATACTAAAACATTTTAGAAAAACTATATGGTTAAATTATATTATTTTGATGAGTAATGATCTTATTGGACCATGCCACACCCCAATGGTATGGGAACCCTGAGGATCATTGTTAAATGGCAGCCTCAGCATCGAGATTGGGATTGGGGTTTACCTGGCAATTTGTTCCAAAGCAGGTTACTGGTGGCAGACACCCAGCGGCTACGATTAAATAAGGGAACTATCAACGGCTAATATTTTACTTTTCCCATTTCTCTCTCTCAACTCTCAAAAGTTCTTTTAATACCCTGATACATGTTCTGTACCTTATACCTCTCTCTCTCGTACCACTTTTCTCAACCCAAACCTGCCGTAGTCTATTTCTTCTCCCATATCTCTCTCTCTCCTTCCTGCTTCAAACCCCATTATCAACCTTACCTCTCTTCCCTTCTCAAGTTCTCTAGTCTCCACTACTCTCTTTCTTTCTCTCTAGCCATTACTGTCTCTCTCCCCTTCTCTCGTCTCCACCACACACTCTCTCTCTCACCATTGGTGTCTCTCTCTCCATTAGCTTCTCTCTTTGCTGGATGTCTAAATAGCACGAGCCATCTCAGACAAAAGAGGAGAGTTACCATTGAAATCAAATTCATGTATGTGGAATCCAATACTCAAAATTCTAGTTTTTCTTATTGGGCCTACAAAAATAATTTCTTGGTAGCAAAGTCGTGGAAAACACAGGGCTTACCCTCGTTGCCTTTTTATTTTCTTAGCTATGTATATGATTGTTGCTGTTGTGTGACAAGGTTGCTAAGATGTCTTGACTCTCCATTTTTGCGCATGTATTTATCATGGTGTCTACATTGTCGTTAATGTTGAGCACTTGTGAGGCTCATACGTATACCTGGTGCTTGATTGGGTTTCTCCTATTAATAGTGCACTTCACAAGTTGATGTAAAGTGAAAGTCGTGGCAGGTACAATCTTGTGTGTGCTTCAAAACTCAATGTCGCTGTGCTTATTTTAAGTGTATTTGTTGTTCCATTGGATAAGAAAGTATTAACGATTTGCTTATAAACAATAACTTCCCATGTTCTTGTAGGTGAAAAAATTACTAGTTCATCAACCGGTAATGCTGAGTAATGTCGCGGATGGTACGGCTTCTGTGATGATTATCTTAGGAGCTTACAAGATTGGAACACAAGAACTTCACCACCATCAAACAAAAAAATATTGTTCAAGATTTTAGATAATCAATAAATATGAATAGAAGTGAACTTTGACGAGCATGTTCTCATTTACCATTTAGCTACTTATTAGCTTTGGCAGTAATTTCCATTGTCTTATTTATTTAACCAACTTTTAATTTAAAGTGACTCGAAAGAAGTTGGGGATGACTCACTTTTGTTATCATGACAGTTGAATGTGGTTTAGTACTGTTTGTAGCTGTGGTTTTTATGCTTGTTAAGTATGTGTGCATATTAGAAACCCAAGTGCAATTTGCCCAAGGGAAGGGATTTAGGTCGAGGTGGTAGCACTTCACACCTTAGTCACCGCGTCGTGGTTTTCATTCTCACCACCAACACCACTCTATTAACATTTTAAAAAAGCTAACTCTTAATCTACTTTAAAAAATGGGTAGGGAATAATCTTTTTGTATAAGTTGTTTGTTGCACAAATGCGGTTCATTTGATTGATTTTTCTTATCTGCTTTCTTCGCATATTTCGTATTTGGCAGATGTGATAGTGACTAATTTGTTCCTTTCAACTAATTATGTTTGCTCTATATCCATTAGGGACATAGAGTGTTTGTCATTATAAATGCCTCTTTGGGGTGTAAAATCTTAAAATATGTCGCGAGGGCTTAAAAACAGAAAATGCTAGTTTGATGTTGGATGCAGGAACAGCTTGCCACCATTGGAGAGAGAGAGAGAGAGAGAGGAGAGTGGAGACGGAGATTTGGCCCTAGTAAATTGTATTTCAATCCGTTGAGAGACCTTACGAGAGATGAGAATTTAATGTTTTGGAAGCAACTACATTCCTCCATTTCATTCTACCCTTATTAGAAGCAACCTATTAGTGTTTTTTAAATTTAAGAATGATAACTACCTTTTACCTGTACACTTCAATAGGGCAACCATGTCTCAAAATTAAATGTATACATACAATGAAAAATAAAAATAAAAGGAAAGCAGAGAAAATGTTATACTAAAGCTTATACATCATGAACCTTGAATGTGGATCAAATTGTTTAGTATAATTTTGTCTGTCGATACATGAGACCCAAGACTCACATTTTAAGGCATCAAGAGAAACTCGTGCTGAAAATATATTTATTTGGCAACTATGTTCCTCAGCACTTTAAGTGCTAAAACAAAACTCCCAAAAATAAATAAATAATTGAGACATTTATAAGAAACCTTTGTGGCAAAATAACTAACTTAAATGCAACATCAACTTTTGAAAGATTCTCAATGCCTGGACATGATTAAGAGAGGTCATATCATCCTGTAGCGCTATGATCTCCACCTATAACTTATTGATATATATAATGAAGGAGAAATATGAAAAAATAATTACGTTCAAAGATTTCACTCTCCTGATCAGTAGCAGGTGACCAATTTTGACAGTTAAAAAATCAAACTTGATTCAAATGGATCAATATCGATGAATATGATTTGAGAGAGAGAGTGTTTATAGGGGAGAGTGATACTAATAGCTGGAGAGAGAGTGGTGGAGGTGAGAGATTAATAGCTAGAGAGAGAGATAGTGGAGACCGAATAACTTGAGAATGGAAGAGAGGTGAGGTCGATAATGGAGTTTGAAGCAAGAGAGAGTGTTAAGAGTACGGCATGGGTGGATTTGGGTTAAAAAAAGGTGGCCTGAGAGAGAGGGGTACAACTGTACAAGGTACAGAGCATGTGTCAGGGTATTACAGGGATTCTTGAGAGTTGAGAGAGAAATGGCAAAAGTAAAATCTTAGCCGTTAGTATTTCCCATATTAATCGGGGTCTCTCAACATTGGGTGTGGTACGGTTTTATAATACTATTATTTTATTTTGATATATTAAAATATTTTTTAAAAATTATATTGTTAAATTATATTACTCTTTTGAAGAGTAATGATCCTATGAAACTTTCATTTATGCGTAGGACTTCAAAAAATCATCATAAAATTTGACACATCTCTAAAATAGTTATTACATGGGTATGGGATTTAACTTTTTTAGAGATATATACCAAATTTAACGGTGATCTTTAATGGTGATCTTTGAAGATCCGACACACATAAACGTGAGACGTGGGAGGGTCTCGTAAGATCATTACTCTAATTTGAAATACAAACAAGAAACCATTTTTTTGTTTTTCCTAAAATAAGAGGGCTTAGTGTTGCTAAATGGATTTAGGCCTTGCTAGTTTACTATCCTTGAAGCTTGAAGCAAAGAAAAGTCACTCAAATGGCCTATACATTATACAATGCCTCGTACGGATAGTTAAAAACTCATAATTGCTCTTGCTCTCAACACATTCTAACTAAAAAATGGTTTTTAATGTTGGTCTCCATGGTGTTCGCAACATGCTTCTTTTATATTTATATATTTAGAAGTTGAAGGGAAAGGGGGAGGTTTCCCATCAAACATTAGAACCTAGTGACAGTCTAAATTAGTTCTATTACCTTCATGTAGCCCTCTATTACGTCCATTAGCCCTTGTTTAAATCGCCTATAGCTTTTATGGAACCCTTTTCTAGCATAGTAAGAAGGGCCTCAAGAAAGGAAAACCCAGTTTATAGTAAGGTTCATATGTATAGTTAGGTTCATAGGTAAGTAAAGTGATATAACAGAGAGAGAGAGAGAGAGAGGTTTATTCTGAAGTACTTTATAGCAAGTGATGTGTGTGTGAGAGAGCTTTTTTTATGGCCTGACAAATAATGGGAGACACAAATCTATATTAATAAAGGGAATTTTACACCATTTACATTTGGAACAAGAAAGTCAAATCATCTTAGTTCCTTAGATGTGAAATAAGGAGGCTAGGTGTTTGCGGAAAATTCTGGTGAAGTTTGAGCCTAGTCCTCGGCACACACCTTCGAGTTGCCCGGTTTCATATCTAATGGCTAAATGTGTTTCGGAACTTTTATCATAAGAAAATGAGCCCAGTTAAAAGTTTTGTATCTAATGGCTAAACGTGTTTCTGAACTTTTATTATCCCAAAATGAAAAGTCATGTCATATACTTTCTCAAAACGAAATGAAGTAACCTATAAATGTGAGTTCATTATGATACCCCTAATCAAAAGCCTCCAATAGCAGCTGCCTAAGTAGGTAAGCTTATCTCCCAAATAACTTGTTGACAGATAAGCTCCTCCATCTCCACAAATGAACCCGATTCTCACTGGGCACTGGCTGAGAGATCATCAAATTATGTTGCAGTGCATTGTTCTCTTCATTGAGCTTAATCAGATCAAGTTGTAGCTGCTTTATCGTCTCCCTCTTCTCAGCATTTTTCTTTATCAATTCTCTTTGTTGCCTCATATTCTCCTTCATCATCCATGAAAGCTGATTTCTCATTTCAACCCAAGTATCATTTTTCAAACTGAGGTCCACTGGTTCGAATCTAGCCGCCGAACATTCAGCATTATACATGTCATGAGTAGAGTATGCACTCTCTCTCTTCAAATTATTTGCAACCTCTCTCTTCAAATCATGTGCACAATGCTCAAACTTTAGTTGAGGTGTTTGGCTCTGTCTCTCCAAATTGTAATCCCCTCCCTCTCTCTTCACATCACATGTAAAATCACCATTCTCTCTCTTTGAAGCATATGTAGCATATGTAGAATCGTGGCCCTCTCCCTTGGAGTCACCTACTTTCAATTCAGGATATGATTCTCTCTCTTTCAGGTATGCATAATCACCATTATATCTCTTTGAACCATACTCAGAGCTGTTGCTGTTTCTCTTGACATCGCATTCATTCAATGACAAAGCATCAAGATCTGATTCCCTCTCTTCTTTCCAGTACTGCATCCTTTTTTCAATCTCTTCATTCTCTTGTGCTCTGTTCTCACATTCCAAATTATTTGTAAGTTTCACTGCGTCTCTCTTCACATCACATGCAGAGTCACCAGTCTCCCCCTTTGGATCATTATCAGAGTCACCATTCTCTCCGTTTAAACCGTATGTGGAGCGGTTTCTCTCTGTCTTTGGTTCATACCCTTTTGAATCATCAGTATTTGAGCCTCTCTCTACTTTTGGGGAGTGGGTGCATATTTTGATCTCTTCATGCACTAGATCATCAACCTCTTTCTTCGAATTGTACAAATACGCACCATTCTCACTCTTCGAAGAATGCACGCGACTAATGTCCTTTATCTTGTAATCACATGCTTTTGAAACATTGCCATTTAAATTTCTCTCCACTTTCGTGCACCTAACACTCAATTCGTTCTCTTTGAACTCAGGATCTTCTAGCATGGATTCAGCTGAACTAGATGCATTAGAGTTCTTCGTAGACTTGGCTGTATTCAAACCATCAGAATCATCAATTTTAATCGAGTTTTTAAGCATTTGGTCGTGATGAAATTTTGCAGACTCTGATCTCAGGCGATCATAGCGTTCGGCAAGAACACAATAAGACTTCTGTAATTCTTCAACCATCTCAATAAGTTGGGGCCTCCTCTCGAAGTAAATCTCGGCTCTTTGTGCGAAAGAATCACCATCTTCGCCTATTAGCTTCAGCATTTCCTTCGTTTGTGAGTCCACTTCTGCAAAGATCATGATGTCATCAGTGTAACACACACACACAGGCACAAATGGGGAGACACAGAGAGAGAGTTAACCAAACGCTGCCATCATCGAGACTCCAGCTGCCTTCATCAAGTCTATGCCAAAAAGGAATGACTGAGTTTCTACCAAAATGAGTTGGAATTTCCGATATCCCAACTACAAAATGAGTTGGAATTTCCGATATCCCAACTAACTTCAGAGCTGACGATTTATTCAACCATCAAACTAAAAAGAATGAATTACTTTAAGTCATCCCTGATTTTTGAAAAATTTAGGACCCGAAATACATCCTGAATTAGTATAAATCCATTTCCACCTCAAATCCATGAATTCGGTAGAACTCATCCTAGTTGAAAACTGAAATTGATACTAAAGTCGAAAGCTGACATTGATAGAAATGAGTGCCAATGCATGGTTATTTGTCAGTCAAACCATAGCACTTTCGGTGTCTCCAACTAAACAATCATATATTCCATCCAATAATGTCCCAATACAAACATACCAGTTCATTGGAACTGGCATCATCTTTTCCCTAATGATTTCCAGTATGCATTTGAACAAATTTCAACAAGACGATTTTTAATTTCTTTCACCATCACATATTAATATCAATATTGTGTACCTATATCAGTATGAATACTTGTACTAATATCCGGACTCGCTAGGATCCCAGACCCGAGTAAAAAAACTTGGCTTGGCTAGAACCCTAAAAATTAAGAAAAAAAAAAAGAGAACTCTGGTGAGTTTTAAATCACTTCTAAAAACTATGTCATCTTCGAAAATGAAAACTTCTTCTCTTCCAGTAGAAAGGGGGACATCTGTCAGCATAGTTAATCGGAGAATGGAAAATAATACAGATGCAAAGCAATAAAAGAAATGCACTGAAGAAAAAATCAAGAGACTAGAACCAGTAGCCCAATGGGAGCAATGAAGAGAGAGGAAGAGAGAGATGACCCGAGAGAGTGGAACGAAGCCAATTGGATCGTTTCGGGCCATCGGGTAGGTTCCATCGATTTGAATAATAAAGTTGCTTCTCGTGTGTAAAAGCCATTTCCTCTGGTTTTCACTTTTCCTTGTAGTCTTGGTGATTCTCTCTAAAATGATGCAAATGTTCTCTGTAACAATTACAGAGTTTTATTCATCATTTTACCATTTCTCAGGCACTTTCCAAACTTGGAAGGAATTTATCCGACGCACTAGAAAAAGTAAACTTCTCCAAACAATCACAAATTTGGATCTCTCTCCATTAATGAGGTCTCTTTCTATCTTAACCTCTCTCTGCATGCAATTTTTGTTGATAAACTACATTTGAAATTTGAATAAATTTATCTCGATCCTTTTTTTATTTTTTAAGATTTTCTTTTTGTGCTTATCCATGAAACCTTTTTTGCGCTTATGTGTCCTTCAAATCTTTTAATTTTGACCTCATTCAATATTTTTTTGAAGTTCAAATTTTAAACTTATTAACTACCAAATTTAATCCTAAATTTCAGCTGGATAAAGATCTTGCCTTGGTTCCGGATAAGCACTTCAAGGAGCATATTGTTTCTTCTTCCCTATAAAAATGCCAAACAAATTAAAAAAAAAAAGACCTCTCTAAAAAAAATAGCTCTCTATTCTTTATGTATCTTCACATGCTTCTCTCTCTCTCCGAATCTCTCTCTCTCTCTCTGCCAATCTCTCTCTCTCTTTATTTTCCCTAACTCTTTTTCTCCATGTGTCTCACTCTCTCTCCTCCCAAATCCCTCTTATGCAAGAAATAGAACCAAAAAATTGACAATAAGAAAGGAGGTTAAGAGAAAAATACTATCTCTTAAAGGTCTGAAAGGGAATCCAAGTCCAAAAATTGACAATAAGAAGGAAGGTTAAGAGGGAATCCAACCCTAAAAATTAACTATAAGAAGGAAGGTTAAGAGAAAAATACTGTCTCAAAAGTGTGAGAGAGAATCTACCCCCAAAACAATATCTTTCAATAGACCAATTTTTATTCAATTCGTAGACTGATTTACAAGGAAAATGAGATGTCTCTTTAGATAGACTAAAATAAAATAACTAATAAAAAGTTTCTCTCTACACTTATCCCTATTTTCTCTCTCTCATATTCAGGGGTGTCTACGTAGCCCGCAAACTAACCCAATCTACATAGCTATATCATGTTTTACCCAAAAAAATCCCTCAAACTAACCCAATCAATATAAGATAAACCCAATATAGACCAAGATAAACACAATATAGACCTCTCAATGTAAGATAAACACAATATAGACCTCCCAAGTTAGTATAAACTCTCTTCTACTTGGGATAAACTCTCTTTTAAATTTACCTTTATCTTAATTATATCCCCAAACTAAACCAATCAATGATAAACCCAATATAGACCAATCGATTAAACATAATATAGACCTCTAAGTTGGTATAAACTCTCTTCTAAATTTATTCTTATCCTAATTATATCTCTCAAACTAACTCAATCGATATAAGATAAACACAATATGAACTCTAGAGTCACCCAGCTAATTATCAACACTTATAAACTCTCTTCTAAATTTACCCTTATCCTAATTATATTCTTCAAACTAACCCAATTGATGCAAGATAAACACAATACTAAATATATCCATCAAACTAACCCAATCGATACAAGATAAACACAATATAAACTCTAAAGTCGCAAATGGTCCTGCTAATTATCTGTTCGCACTCCCTCAACAAAAAAATAATTAAAATATTCATAATAAATAACCCTAATAATTTTTCCTTATTAAGTTATGGCCATTTCTTTCCCTCTTGGATTCTGCGACCCTTCTTTGGCCCAGTCACGATCGTTCCGCCCGTTGAAAGGAACTCGACTCCGGCGAGTTGGCTTCAATATATATGCGATATAAGTCTGGATCCACTCTTTTGAATTCTGGCTCAGAAATCCACGTGCTATCAGAGTATGGCCTGCCTTTCCATTTGACTAGAAATTGGAGAACCCTTTTGCGTTTGAAAGCTTTCAGTCTTCAAAACTTACTCAATTTCATCACCTTTCTTCCTTGGTAATTTCTTCATCATATCAACTACATCTTCTGCGACTTCTAGAGGGTCTCCGTGAAACTCAAATTAAGTCAGCAACATTAAATATCGGGGACATATCCAATGCCTTTGGTAATTCTACCTTATATGCATTGTTCCCATATTGCTTCAAGACGTGGCAAGGACTCACTTTCTTGTACTTGAGTTTATTATAGGTTCCCAACGGAAACCTTTCCTTTCACAAATACACCATTACTAAGTCACCCTCCTTGAAAATCTTCTCTCTTCTATGCTCATTTGAGGGTTTTTGATACTTTGTATTGCTCTCCTCAATTTTCTTCTTGATTTAGGCTTGCAAATCTCGAATATGCTAAGCAAAAGCATTGACATCATCACTTATTTTGCTTAGCATGGGTAATGGCATTAGGTCCAACACACAATTAGGCGTCCGCCCATTAACAATCTCAAATAATGATTTTGTTGTAGATCGATTTATTGAACTATTGTAAGCAAACTCAGCCTGAGGCAAGCGAGGTCCCACTGAGATATGTTATCACCAACAATACTCCTCAAGAGGTTACCAAGGCTCCTATTCACTACTTCGGTCTGCTCATTTGTTTGAAGATGATAGGTACTAGAAAATTGAAGTTTGGTTCTCATGCACTTCCATAAAGTGTACCAAAAATGACTTAAAAATTTTGTATTTTGATCAGATGTAATAAACTTAGGAACACCATGTAGCCTTGCAATATCTTTGAAAAATAGATTAGCGATATGTGTAGCATCCGTAGTTCTTCTACAATGAATAAAATGTGTCATTTTGGAAAATCGATTAATAACAACAAAAATAGAGTCCATACCTCGTGTGGTACGTGGAAGTCACAACTGAAACAGGAAGAGGAGTATAAAGACATGTATTTTGTGTGTGACCTTTAGATACTTGGCAAGTTCGACATCGGGTCACAAATTGATCAACATCTTGCATACGTGGCCAAAAATATTTTTCCCCAACCATAGCCATAGTTTTGTCATTCTCAAAATGTCCACCCAAGCCCCCACCAAGAAGCTCCATGATTAACTTCTCCCTTAGGGAGCAATCAGGTATACATAACTGCATACGTTTAAATAAACAACCATCATGCACGAGATACTCACCCATAGGGCCTCGCCCACAACATACCTTTCAAGGACCTTGCTGAAAATTGGATCAACTTTATATTGATCTTTTGTCACTTCAAACCCCAACACTTCTATAGACAAAGTTCTAAGCAACATTGCCCTTATGCTTAAAGCATCAACTGCCTTATTTTGGGTTCCAACCTTGTGCTTTAATAGGAAGGTATATTCTTGAAGGAAGGCCATCCACTTAGCATGTCGCGTATTCAACTTTTTTTGGGAACTCAAATACAAGAATGCTTTATGATCTGAGTATAAAACAAACTCTCTATGAATCAGGTAGTGCCTCCAGTAGTGTAAGGCTTACACCACTGCATAAAACTCGAGGTCATAAACTGAATACTTTTTACGTGCATCATTCAATTTCTCACTAAAAAAGGACAATTGTCATCCCTCTTGACTTAGAACTGCCCCTATGCCAACATTTGATGCATCAGTTTCGATCTCAAACACCGTAGAAAAATATGGTAAGGCAAGTACTGGTGCTTGCATCATCTTTTGTTAATTAGAGTGAAGCTCTTTTCAGCAGCTGGATTCCATGAAAACTTTTCAGGCCTCATAGAATCCGTCACTGGTGCTATTAGAGTGCTGAAATTTCTGATAAATCAACGATAAAATGTCGCTAAGCCATGAAAAGAACGCATCTCATTGAGTGGCTTTGGCACCGGCCACTCATCTATGGCTTTCACTTTTTCTTGATCCACTTTAATTCCCTTAGATGAAACAACATACCCCAGAAAGACGATATTGTTTGTCATAAATGAGCATTTTTTCAAATTCACAATAAGTGATTCTTTCCTTAGCACATCAAAAACTTGTTCCAAGTGGTTAAGATGATCATGTGGGTTAGCGCTAAAAACCAAGATATCATCAAAATAAACCACAACAAATTTATCAATAAAAGGACGAAGTACCTCAGTCATTTGGCACATGAATGTACTTGGTGCATTAGAAAGGCCGAATGGCATCACAAGCCACTCATATAATCCATCTCGAGTTTTGAATGCAGTTTTCCATTCATCTCCAAGTCGAATCCGAATTTGATGGTACCCACTCCTTAAATCAATCTTTGAGAAAACCTTGGCTCCATTAAGCATATCTAACATATCATCGAGATTAGGGAAATCAGTATTTAATTGTAATTTTGTTGATTGCCCGACTGTCCACTCACATCCTCCATGACCCATCTTTTTTTAGAGTCAATAATGCAGGGATTGTACATGGTGACATGCTTTCTCGAAGTAATCCCTTCTTATGCAACGTAACAACTTGTCTATGCAACTCCTCATGTTCCATGGGGCTTATTTGATAATGGGCCAAGTTTGGTAGGTTAGATCCGAGCACCAAGTCAATGTGATGCTGAATATTTCTCATTGGAGGAAGACCATCAGGTAATTCTTCAAACATCAAATCTTTATACTTATCAAGTAGATGTCCAAGAGATCTAAGAATTGCAGTCGGTGCAGAATTTTTTTTTGCAACTAATACATAAATCACATCTATATTCTTGCTGTCCCTTTTTAATTTTTTAACATTAAGCAACTTTGAACCCTCCTCTTTAGTGGATTTGGGTGTGTAAGAAGTTGTTTCATAGGGTGGAGTATTATATTAATACCATCCTTAATAAAAGAATAAGTGTTTGGCCTAGTTTTATGCACCATATCATGATCATAAAGCCATGGTCTACCAAGTAATATGTAGCATGCATCCATAGGTGCTACATCACACCACACTTTATTTTTATAATTAGTACCAATGAAAAAAGAGATTAAACAACGAATAAGAACTGGTACCTCACCTCCTTTCTTGAACCACTGGATGTGGTATGGGCGTCGGTGCT